AGAAATACTTTACTAGGAAATGTATATTTGTTTAATCTGGATTCATTATTGAAGAAAGTTTAAGAGTTTAATACCACTTTAAATATTAATCCCTCCAACCCCCTTAGAATCCATAATGATTGATTTATAATAAAATAATAATTGCAATACTCATTGGGCTTTTGTCACGCGTGCCTGCGGTCCTGTTGACTTCAATGGGCACGTTTGGAAGGCATTGCCATCTGCCAAATGTGACCTGTTGAGTTAAAATTGTGTGAGGCACCGCAACCACGCCAGTGTGTATGGTCCTTAGCGGCTACCATGTTAATGTGTGTGTAAGCAGTGGGGGGAGGGGGCAGTAAAAGTACACCACCCTTTTTAAGATCCCCGGAACTATGGGGTAAACATTTTATCCCATAGTTCTCTTAAAGGTCACGGGAGGACATATATTAAAGTCCTCCCGTGACCCAAAGCTCAGTATATAGCGAGCTACAGCTCACTACATACTGAGAGTGCCGCAACCGTGACGGATCTCGACAATACTGGCGAGATCCACCCAGCTGGCTGATTGACAGCTGGCTCTGCCTGCCCCCTCCCCCGTCCGTTCCTCCAGTCAGTGCTGGAGGATCGTAGAGGGGGGGATCTGAAACTGAGCAGGGAGATGATCTGAAAGTGAGCGAGGGACGGTATGTGTTCGCTCACTTCCCGATCTATTGAGCCCACGTGTGACAGTTTCATTGTCACACGTCGGCTCGAACTATGAGGATGAGTGAAAAATCACTCACCTCATAGTTCTCCTTTAAAGTAGATTTTAACCCCATCACTAAAATCTAATAAAAGCTTTAGCATTTTAATGTCGGTTCTAAAGTTAATTTGAATCTTTTATAGCCTGCAGCTTTCATTAAAATAATAACCTATTAAACTGTCATAAAGGTCATTCTACAGACGCTTCCTATTTTTCGGGTGACAACTGACTTCCAATTGTGGTCCTGCATTGTCACATGTACCATGCGTCCCTGGTGGAGACTACACCCAGCTTTATTGATACACATTACTCAGGCATGGCCCACCGTCATCCCTATAAGGAACCTGGTCCAGAGCAATAATTTGCAAGCCAACCAAGAAATAAGTGAGATGGTATTTCTAAAAATCTGTTTTTGTGCCTAACTACGTGCACTGTCTATAGATCTGTACTATGTGCACATACCAGCATGCCTTGAGTGTACCTCTGCAATTGTTTATGGGCTTCCATTTAAAAAAAAAAGGAAATCAATTACTTTTTCGATTTTTTTAAAATTTCTAAATCAAAAGCATCCTGACTCTTAGGGGTCTGTTTATAAACAATTTGAGAAGTACAATTGCCCCTCCGAGTCTCCGCGAATATTCGTCCTGAGCAAATGGATGCAAAAAATGTTTTATGTCCAATGTATTTTCAAACAACCTCTTGTAATACTGCACTGTGGCCACTAGATGGAGCTGGGGAGTATAATAAATGAATACTAGTGGCCATAATGCGGCATTACACGATGACACATGAAAATACAACCAACTTGAAAAGAAAATATAACAAGAACGATCGTTTTGTGCATCCATTCGCACAGAACGAACATTCACAGAGATTCACAAGGTCAGTGGCTCCGCAAATAGACCCCCAACAGTAGATGTCAATTATAACTGAAAGATATTCTGTTTGTTAAAGTGTCATAGATAATTGGCATTTTAAAAAAAATGCAATTTTTACCTTTATTTCATCCTTTCTTGCATCTCAGTGTTGCTGAGAGCAGCTTTTTTGCTGCCACTTCCTCTCTACATACACCTCAGTGTTATGACATTTCTCAGGGAGGGTTTTTTTTTTATGGTGATAACAATGTACCTTGCCTGCATAATGTGCTTGCACTCTCCATTGGAAGATAGATAGGGCGACAATGCAGGAGAGCAACTGGGAGACAGGGACAGAGCGTTGTCACCCTATAACAGGAAGTGCCTGAACAAAGATCATCATGGCAGGATCACCAGGCGCTGTTTTAATAAAAGATGCAGATTTAAATATATTGAAAATGACTTGAAATGATAACAATGGCTGAAGATTTATATGAGATCTTAGTGATGTGAAAATGTATATATTCTTTAAATTCACAATCTGAATAACTAATTAAACAAATGTAGTTGTGGGCAGCAATAAAATAATAGTCAAAATTATTTTATGAATTAATATTTATAAAATAACAATATTATTATTATTATTAATAACAATAATATGAAGAAAATAACAATAATATCATACATAATAATTTTGAATTATATTATTTTAATGAAAGGATTATATTATTCAAGACTGGATGGACACAAAGCATTTAATAAATACACAGTCATTCAAGCAATCTGATGGATTGCGCACAGCACAGTGGCCTTTAAAAGATTCCACATTGTCTCTCACAGTATCCAATCATCCACATTATTAACAGTTTATTATTTAGGTTTATTTTTCTATTATTTGCCTTTGTGCTGCAGTCATCTGCCTCCACCTCCATTTTTTATTAAAATTGGTATTTCAGAGGCTTGTTACAATAGCCAAAAGAGATTAGCTCATTACATTTTGCCTGCGTGATGATATGAAATTCCAGCGGGTAATTACATCAAAATATTAAAACAATAATGATTATGTGAATAAAAGTCAGACACATTGCTACAAGCCCATCGGAGAGAACAATGTCCTCATGAATCATCTCATCAGTCTACTACGTGCAGAATTGTATACATAGGGAGGGAGTATGTAAGTTATTAGTCCACACTGGCTCAGTGGTTTGCACTGCTACAAGGGCCGGATTTCCCACAAGACCAACCTAGGCCTGGCCTTGGTGCAGCAGGGAGTAGAGGGGCTGCAGGGGTGTGGAATTCCTATATCCCGACGCCCGGGACATGCAGTTTCCGGGTGCTGGGTGTGTATTTGTTTTCTACTTTTAGCCTTGCTATGGGCAAGCGGGGCTAAATGTAGAGCGTGGAAGCAGCCGCTTGTTTTGTACATCAGCGATGTCGCCGAGATCACTTGTATGGAGCCTGCTTACAGGGGGGTGCATTGAGGAACCTGACATTGGGGCAGCAGATAGAGTAAGTCCAGCCCTGACTGCTACCTTCCAGTAGTGGGGCCTTAGCTTCAATTACTACTAAGAATGCTTTCTGAGTGGAGTTTGCATCTCTTTCTAGGTTTGTATGGGGGTCACTGGTAGCTTGCTTTTGCCTTACCTGGTCATGGTTTGTGTGCGTGGCTGCGGTGGGCACATTAAATTGTAATATCCTATAAAGCAGGGAATGGTATGCACAGTTTAACCCTTTCGCTGACGAGACGTTTTTTTGCACACCTTATAATCCACATTTTAAAACCCCCGATTAAAACACATTTAATAAGTGAAAGTAATTTAAAACCCCAGAGAATGATATAGTTCCTGAAAGCAGGGACCCCGTAGAATAAAATTGTGGCAGATCCAAATTTTTATGTCACATGATATTAGCAAAACTCTTCATAATACCCCAAATTTCTTTTTTTCTATTTTGTGTGTGTGTAAAATATTAAAGATGAGGTTGTGCCAAGTAAATAGATACACAGCATGCCCTAGTTAAAAACAGCGTGCACCCATGACCTGGTGACAAAATACAGTATCCCAAATTGTCCATAGGTGACACTTTGAAAGCCTGTACAGGTCATCAGTTTAAAATTAACCGTTAACATTGGCCATAGAATTATTGCTCTCACTGTGGCACACGTGTCGATACCCAACAAGTGTAACACAAACCTCAGTTTCGCACATAGGCGCACCCAACCCATGTTTACATTTTTTTGTTATTTTTATATTTATTTTATTTAAAAAAAAACTTTTTTATTTCATTGCTATCACATGGGTGGGCTCACAAGCCCCCTATGTGATAACACTTAGAAGGTCACACGTTCTCTCTAAGGCTGCCTTAGCAATCTATTAGACCCCTAATGTCACCTTTGGACTTCAGATCATATTTTGATGATGGCTGCAACTGAGGAAGGAGGAGTGGGGCAGTACTAAGCAGATGAATCACTGAGTGGTTTGGGGTGGGTTTTCCGCTGACTCTCCCACTTTACCTTAAAGTTTTAGGTTGGAAGATCAGCATAATAGTCATAGGACTAGCAATTTCAGAACAAGGTCAGCAAAGGCAGCCACCATACTTCTTTCTGGCTTACACTAAGGTCCCATTTACAGTAGTCTGGTCTGCTGTTTGTGTTATGTCAAGACAGTCCACGCATTAAAATACACTGCCAACACACCAAAATGGACCAAAAATTAGACATGTACCATTTTTTCCATAGCAAGGCTCCAGAGTGCACTATAGGCTGTGGTGCAGTGCAACCTATGTGTGTTGGAGGCACATTGCCTTAGTGAATTGGGTTTGTGGTGCAACACAACACGTGCTTGATGATGTGTAACAGTGATGCGCGCATCACCACAATGCACCGTAACTGGCAGGTGTGAAAATGTGTAAGTATTGAGAGGAGCGCAGTACATAATTCACAACTTTTTCAAACATAATCATACAGGAAAAAAAAAGTTGTTTCCAGTCTATGATTCCTTATGTCTAGCAAGAAAACAGAGGTTAACTTTCACATAAGTTGCTTCAAAAATGGCTTTTCTGATCATTGATGTCGTCAGATCAGTTAATGTTTTTAAAAGCATAAATAATCAGACTTATTGTGTTTATTGACAGGGAACACAAATACTGTGCGCCTCTCTTGTGTTTGTGTTCCCTGTCTATAGATCTCCTGTTACCCTGACTGTCCAGGTGCTGCCCACTTGTAGAAGGTGTTTGTTTCTGTATTCCCAAAGATGTGATGGATCTGGCGCTGGTGAGATTTTAGATTTGATTGTGTTTATTGTGTTACATTATCTTCATTCCAGGTGCCTGCAGCTTTCATTTCAACTCACCAGCCATAAATAGTGACAATCTAAACTATTTTATATGATACAATTTTTAAAAGCAAGTTAACAGGGACATACGTCATAACCAGTGTCTCGTCTCCAGGTTCACTGAGAAGTCCATCCACAAACACTGATGTGCTAGTGAAGTTGTGCACACTCCAGGTCTGGCCGTCATCTACACTGAATCTAAGGAGAGATAAGAAACATAGTTTAGCTAGATTAGTTATAGCATATAAAGATATTTTAGACAACTGTGCACTTCTATCCTTGTGGTAACATTTTAGGTCGGGGCCCCTTTCTGTTCCGGCATGACTGTGCCTCTGTACACAAATCCAGGTCCATGAGGACACAGTTTGGTGTGAAAGAACTTGAGAGGCCTGCACAAAGCCCAAACATTAACCCTACCAAAAACACCTTTGAGATGAACCAGACCTATTGACTAAATGGCACACATCCCAACAGGCACACTACAAAATATTGTGGAAAGAAGGAGATGGGAAGAAATTCCCCCCCTTCCGATCCTCCAGCACTGACTGGCGGAACGGACTGGGGAGGGGGCGGGTACAGCTGGCTCTGCCTCTAAATAGGCAGAGCCAGCTGTCAATCACGCAGCTGGGTGGATATCGACAGTAATGTCGGGATCCGTCCCGGCTGTGGCGCTCTCAGTATACTTTGGGCTTTGGGTCATGGAAGGACTCTAGTTTGTGTCCTCCTGTGACCCTTAGGAGAACTATGGGGAAAAGCACTGACCCCATAGTTCTCCTTTAGGAATTAATTGACAGATGCATTTGACCTGTAGTTGCTCCACTCATCATGACCTGAATTTGACCTGAAAAGTTTGCATTCCCATAGAATTGTTCAGAGGTGTTACAGCGGGTAGAAAACAAAAGCCTATTGACACAGTCCGTAAGCAAGTTGGGGCAGACTGAATTTTCAAAAGCAGCAGACGACTCTGTATAAGGAACAATTATAAAAATACCTATTATAAAATATCATTTTTGTTATGTAAAATAATATATTTATACACATACTGTATACTTCATGTTATATTAAAGTAATTTAAATAACATGCAATGGAACAGCTGAGTCTAAAAACTCTGGGGAAGAGCGAGGACAAATTTTAGTTTAATAATATGATGACGGGATTTCTCTTTGAGCTTGGACTCTGCAGGTTTGATCTAGTCACTTTTTCTAAACTTCACTGAGAACTGTCCTTTAATACATTGATGTAGCACGCATGTTTGATGAGCTAATTTCTTAATCAAAGAACCAAAATATGTGACCATGCATATGATTTCGCTCAGTCACAGAGATAAGAGTTACAGTAATATCACAGAATATTGATGACCTCAGTCAATTAGCAGTTGACAGATCTCCATTACAGCAAACTATAAAGGAAAAATTCAGTAAATCCTGGCTTTATTTTTAAAGTTAAATGAGAACTTTACTGAAAATGAACATATCTGACAGGACTACAGTATGGCAGCCTCTGTCACTGGTAAGAAGTGAATGAGGGCTTGCTACAGGCCAGTTAATCGTAATATATTTTATGCAACCTCATCCAGGTAGTTAGGATGTCCTGGTTGGCTGTCGTTACTATCAACTTGACTCTTACAAGCAACATACTGATAAGCAAGTAAAAATGGCACACAAGGTGAAGGACTAATCTAAATGAAGCACCAGATACACAAGGTAAGAGACTAATGTAAATAGCTCACCAGGTACACACAGTGAAGGACTATTATAAAGGGTGCACCAGGTACCAGGGTCAAGGACTATTGTAAAGGGTGTACCAGGTCAGTGGCGTCACAAGGGGGAGGTGTCAGGAGAGAGGAGGGGACCCGGCGGCATACCTCATCCCGCCGGGTGAACGTCCCCTCCTCTCCATCACCAAGTTGGCCACGCATTCGCGCGAGGACGACACGGCGGGGTGTTACCCGCTCTCCTCTTCGAGTGACACCCGGCCTCGGGCACCCCTGTACCAGGTACACAAGGCAAAGGACTGTTGTAAAGGGCGCACCAGGAGCACAAGTAAAGGACTAATGTAAGGGGCAAACCAATAGTTGCTCAACTTTTCATTTGCATGTTTAACTCCTGTCTCACCATAATAATGAAATCACTTTTTATCCAAGTTGCAAAAGCTGATAGAAAAGTGACAATTTCCAAAAACAAAATTGGATGGAAAAAGTAACAGAGGGTATAAAATACTTTCTAATACCTTTCCTGAAGAAAATGCTGCTCCAGGCTTACTCCAGTACTGCTTACATGAACACAAAGCCTAGGCTTTTGCTTACATGACCACTTCTGAGCCAATCTCGGCTCCACTCCTTTTCATCAGGCAAATTACATTATTGTCTAAGCATTTGTTTATTTGGGCACCGCTGGCGGGAACCTAGAGCAGAATTCTGGCCCATAATCCATCCTAACATGACTGTTAATGTACATTACATGGCAAAAACACCAACTCTATTAAAAAACCTTTGGGGTGAATTGGAATGACATCCAACATTAGTACCTAACCTCACAAGTGTTTTTTTTTGGGGGGGGAACACATTGCCACAGACACACTTCCCAGAAGAGTGGGAGTTAATGTAGTCACAAAAGGGGGTGGGGGCGGCAACTCGATTTTAATGTTCATGGTTCTTATATAATGTACCTTAAAGGATAATTTCATTTAGCTAGGGGGAAAATATAATTCACCAGCTAGAAGTATTGTAGCTGCTGACTTGAGAAATGCGTAGTTACCAGTCCATGAAGTCCAGCACTACCTTCCATGCAGCTGATTCTTCTTAGGGCTTCTGATGTTCCATACCACCATCTTGGATTTGGGAGCTGGCTGTGACTTCCTGATCACTCACAGCTAACCCCCTACTGCGCATGTGTGAGATACACACTACTGGGAGACTGATCCTGTAGCCTCCTGAGATGTGCAATGTTATCTCAGGAGGCTGTAGGTGGTGGACGGGGTAGAGTCAGACTGAGTGGACAGAGGAAGTGAGAGCGAGTGCCACCGTAATAAGTTACTTTTTTTGGTGATTTTTGGGGCGAACGTCCACTTTGACATTAAAATTTGAGTATATGTCAATAAAAAGTCATAAAACATTTCATAACATGCAGTTATAAAGCAGCTTTATATTATACTTACTTGAGGATTTTTAGAGGAATAGATGTATCCTTGATGGCCACAATAACACCACCATGGTCCAAATACAAGATATGATGTTCTTCTTCGAAGACCTGTGTAAAAAGACAAACATGTAGATAGTTAAGATATGACAGTACCCTATAACGGTGTGGGTGCTTTCTTTATAGCTGTAAAGGACCACTGTTGTAGAACATCTTGTATTCTGATAACTATATGCGGATAATAAATTATTTTCTTTACATGCCTTTATCTATGTTTTTCTCTACATTTATATGCAGACCAAGCTATCCAGAAGAAGTGTCAGGGGTTAGTGCAATTTATAACAATGCCAGGGGTGCTTCAGTAGTTGCAGCAATGGTTAAAAACATTTACTGTAAATTATGGCAATAAAAGATGGAAACTGTAAGTACATGTGACAATGTAATAAGTTCCACAATTATACTATATGGCCAAACATTTGTGGACACCTGGCCATCACACATATATGAACTTTCCCGCATCCCATTCTAAAATCATGCTCATAAATATGGAGTTACCTTCCCCCTCAACACACAAACACATTGTTCATTAGATTCTTCATGTTTGCTCAAACCTTCCCAAATGTGTCCAGACTTGGGTAAACATGCCTAACAACCAAACGTGGATTCACACTATATAGCCAGCTGTATGTCGGCACCTAACCATCACATCTATCTTAGCTTGTTGGACATCTCATTCCAAAACCATGGGCATTAATATGGAGTTGTCCCCCTTTTGTGGATATAATGATCTCCACTCTTCTGGGAAAGCTTAACACAAGATTTCCGAGTGTGTCTATTAGAATTTGTGCCCATTCAGCCAAATGAGCATTTGTGAGGTCAGGTACTAATGTTGCATGCAATCAGTGTTCCAATTCATCCCAAAGGTCTTCAGAATGATTAAAGTAGAACTCCTGGGGAAATTATTATTAACCCTTGCAGTGGGGCTAGGCCAAGGCCAGGGTTAATGTACAATGCAGCTTAAACCCCCAGAGCTGCAGGGATACATGAGTGACATGCACATCCAGGGCCGCCTTTAATATTAAGTGGGCCCTGGGCAAGAATTTGCTAATGGGCCCCCACAACCTGCCCACCTCCATCACCTCACCCCTCACACACACTTCCTGACCTGGCCCCCCGTATCCCCCTACATTACCTTCCCCCAAAAATAAAAACAATATATGTATGTGTGAATATAGATACTGTATATAAAGTTCAATGCACTAAACTCAGGACTATGCAACACAATAAACTCGGGACTCGGCACCGCAATGGGCTCAAGACTCTTTAATGACATGAACTCAGGACTCCACACGGCAATGGACTCCGGACTTTACACTGCAATGGACTCAGAACTCTACAACACAATAGACTCAGGACTCTACACTGCAATCAACTCAGGATTCTACACCGCATTGGACTCCGGACTGTACACCACATTGGACTCAGGACTCTGCACTGCAATGGACTCTGGACACTGCACTGCAATAAACTCAGGACTCTACAACGCAATGCACTCAGGACTCAGCACAGCAATACACTCAGGACTTTGCACAGCAATGCACTCAGGACTCTGCACAGCAATGCACTCAGGACTCTGCACAGCAATACACTCAGGACTCTGCACAGCAATACACTCAGGACTCTGCACAGCAATGCACTCAGGACTCTGCACAGCAATGCACTCAGACAGCACGGACGGCCTCTCACTTCTTAGACTGACTGCTACTGAGAATGGAGGGCCAACCTATCTCCCCACTGGCGCTGCCACGGCTCTTTTTCTGTCTGCCACTGGGGGAGAAAGGTACAACTGCCGTGGGACCTTGTAAATTATGGGACACAGGGCAACTGCCCCATTTGCCCCCCCTTAAAGACGGCCCTGTGTGCATCTGACACATACAGAAATGTGGGATGCTGAAGATTCTAGCGCTGGCTGTGTCTCAGCAAGAGAGCAAAGATGGTGTTATCTGTATAAAATGCTGTCTTTGTTCACTTTTTTTAGCAACAGTGTCTCTTTAAGGGCATCTGCCCCTCATCTTGCAAATCGACCTTGCTCGGGGGTGCATTGAACAGTGTCTGCTAAAAATCAATGCTGAATTCAGTATCTGTCAATGCTGCAGCTTCACTGATTTTTAGATAAGCCCAGGGCACAATAAAGTATGATACATGTTATAGTAGTAACAAGCCAAGAAAATCAATGAGGTTCCATATTTTATACATATCCTGCCACTGGCTAATGATCTATAACTCTTTGTAAGATATTAAAGCTGAAATACAGTAAAAACTACCAAGATAAAAATTAATAGCTTGTTAAAAGGCAAAATAAAAAAAGCAGCTTTTCAAATATTCACCTTCATTCCAGAGAATTCCCCCCACAGTGCTCCTTTACTGCCACTAGATGTCCTCAGTTTGAAAACCAGCATCATTCAACACACTTCCTTTGAGCTTAGAGTGTCTAGGACTCTATCCAGTCTGTGATTGGACAGCAGTAGCACAGTGATGAGCTCATCTCTCTATCACTCTGCTCCCTCCTCCTATCAGCATGCTTCTTGGCAGCACATGGACTTATTGGCTGCTTGTACTGGTTCTTCTTTCACTGTACAGGCACAGCAAAAGGCCGATGCCAGGTTAAATTCAGGCCCTGCTTGCATTTAAAAACAATACATTTAATGATGTATTAATGATTGCAGAGCTGCATTAATTTGTGTCTTTTTTATGTGCCTGGAGTTCAGCTTTAATGACCTCGGAAATGTTCATAATGAACATGTGGCTTTGCTAAGCTGGCATAGAGAGATTTCAATACTAATAAGCCAGGTTCAAAAACATGGAGAATTTTGCAAATACATGGAAATCTTCTCATCACAATAGACGCAACAACAGTAAAACCAATCTTGCGTTGAGTTACTGATACTTGCAAAGCTTCAGCGACCACTTAAGATCATATTAGCACTTTGCAATTTTTTTATGAGTGCAGGGGAATGGGCAATGGGGGAGGGGGCATAATCGTTACTTAAGAAGATCTTAAGCCAACGTTTAGAATTACCGCTAAGCCCTGTAAGGTGATACTTGGAGACAGTTCTTTTTTTTCCGTCCTTTGTATTTTATACTCTTGTTTGTTTTGGATTGATATTATGTTTGACGGCGCTAAAGCAGTCATGAACCAGCTGCCGCTATCTTGGCTGTAAAGAATGACACATTAATGCGTGGAAAGGTGATGACAATCATCTTAATCTACACCATGCGGCTCCACCGGTTCCTAAATCTTTCTCGCCCCCTCCTCGTCCTCTTGCTGCCAAGAGGGACATTCTTGTAGAAAGGATTTTGGAAAGGAAGGCTCTTTAAGGGAGCTGGCAGTGGCTCTACACTTGTTCATCATCTGCCTGGAATGATCTGTCAACTTTGTTCAGGAGCTTAGGACAACGGAGACGTTTCTCACAGCCCCTTTTATATTTTTACCAGATAATACTCCCTATGCTGGCATTAGTAGCAGGCTTGTAGCCATACGATGGGAGCCCTAGTACTGTAACATTAGGGACCATTAGCTTTCCAAACTCACTGTTAAAGGAGAACTATGAGGTGAGTGATTTTCACACACCCTCATAGTTCAAGCCGACATGTGACAATGAAACTGTCACACGTCGGCTCAATAGATCGGAAGTGACCGAACACATACCGCAGCTCGCTCACCTCTCGCAGAGAGCGGTGACTGTCACTCACGGCTCCCCACAGGGATTACCCCGTTCCGATCCCCCAGCGCGGACTGGAGGAACGGACGGGGGAGGGAGCGGGTACAGCTGACTCTGCCTCTAGATAGACAGGGCCAGCTGTCTTTCACGCAGCTGGGTGGATCTCGACAGCATTGTCGGGATCAGTCCCGGCTACGGCGGTCTCAGTATACAGCAAACTGTAGCTCACGATATACTGAGCTTTTGGTCACGGGAGGATGCTTGTATATATCCTCCTGTGACCCTTAAAAGAACTAAGGGGAAAAACACTTACCCCATAGTTCCCTTTTAAAGTGATTCTAACCCCTGATAGTTTTCCCATATATAAAAGATAGGGCACCCCCACCTACAATGTATTTATATTTGAAATGCTTTACAAAGAAATTATGAAATACCTTTTCTAGGCCCCATTCACACCAGATGCGTTGGCATCCGTTTTTCAACAGATGCCAGTGCAAGAACATCTGAAAATTAATGGGTGTGAATGGGAGCAGTTCATACCACTGTGTTGTATTGCACTGCCCCCCACTGAAAAAAGTAGAACAGGCTCTCCTTTTTTTCATCGCAAAACAACGAACTGGTGTGAACTGCTAATGCATGTCAATGCAATGCAGAACCAATTACCCATATAGCTTAGTGTAAAAATCAAACCAAAAAAACACCTCCAAAAAATCCAACGTAACGCAACAAATATCAACGCCCTATGCAAACTCAAGTCAACATACCTCCATTGACTCGCATTTTTGGGTCCGATTCAGATGCAAATGCCTTATAGGGCCCATTGCGTTGCAACATATTTTTCAATGGATGCTAATGGAAGGGCAATGACAAATTAATGGGTGTGAATGGGGCTAGTTCACACCGCTTTGTTCCATTGTGTTACATTGTGGTGAAAAAAATACAATAGAACATATACTACTTTTTTGCAGAGCAAGTAACGCAATGGATCCAGTATGAACTAGTCCCATTCACATCCATGCATTTCTCCATTAGCATTCGTTGAACAATGGAGTGCAATGCAACAAATTGAAAGGAAATCAAAAGGTACAATTGCAAATCAACAAACCATCTGATGACTGTGATTTCATTCCAATTTTGATGTGAACAGGCTCTTAATATTTAATGTCTGGGCCACGTGTTTTTTTCTTTTTTTCTTCCTAGCACAGCCCAGGTCTGGGGTGGGGCTAAGCTGGAGCAGCTCACATGCCCTCCACTCAGGTCATGCAGAGCCATGCTTGTGGGGTGGGTCAGATGGTTGATTGACAGCTGCACAGCCTGGGAGGGAGAGCCTGAAAAAACTTAAGTGACACCACAGGACACGTGACTCGCTCGGGTTTGGTCCCACCCCTG